ATTGGAACTCATCATATCGTGGAACTCATTGCAATCACATGTTTGCCGTCATGAGATGCTCTAAAGAACCGATTATTGCAAAGATTATATATGAAATCCTTTTGTTCTGAGACTAGACAATTACTCAATCGGTTGCGAAATASATCACAAAGATGTTGTGACTTACCTCGCGCAATTCTACGAAATCTCGAAGAACTTTAATATGTAATGCGCAGACATCAAGTCAATAAAATTWGCACTAAAAATATTCCAATTTCACATATGACAACCTATAATTTTCTTAGAAATGATTTTATTTATGGTCACAATGTGGAAGTGAATGAAAGACTAAAAGGAACTAAAAAGGGAGGAAATAATTTGTAGTGCGCGGATTAAAAAGTGACTGAGATAGATCTACAGGACGCTTGTTTGCAACAAGACTGATCATCCAGACACTGCAAAAATAATATATTATTAATGATGTCATTTTGATCAATACTTTCATTTTCAACTAAAACGAAGAGATCCTGATGCGTGCTGAAAAAAATGACAGTTTTACAGCAGTAATTACAAATTAAATAGCGCAAAGCGTAGATATTATGGTCAGTATGCAATTTGCTAATTTATCTTCGTTGTAAAGGTAATATCTATCCAAAACAAACCTTAATAATAAATTGAATGCAAGATCTTTGCTTTTATAATCTTTCGAGTGCGAAGTTAAACAATCTATAGCGAAATAAAAAACAAKTTTTTTATTAATTTTTATAAAGTTAAATGCAWCACAKGAAATAACCCACAAACTCAAATATTTCACATCAAATCGAGTCATATTARCAGATAATTGGAAAATTTACTACRTYTATTTTGACTACTAACATGAGCCCGAATTCAGCGCGAAATTACCGCTTACGCTATAAAATCCACGAGTTAACTATTTGCATTTTTTAAAGAAAATGAAAGTCTAAACGAAGATAGTATAAAATCSAACACGATAAGTAATCTATTTATGAATTTTTGCTAATATTAAGCGGTGGTGAAGATTTGTGTTTTAATTATTAAACATCCAAATAAGGGGAATAAAGAGAATGAAAATATCTTTTATCAAGATTGCAAAATRAAATCTTGAAATGTAAATTTCAAAAGGGAAAGGTTACGCAATAAGTATTGCCTAACATTTGTCGCATCAGCAATAAAATATTATCAACGATACAGCCCTTTAACAAGCATATTTATACGAATAGCAAGCTTGCATTTATTTAAGTATTTTGAAGTCTGTTTGCAAAGAATTTCGTATTAGTACAAAAAATTGCGAAGAGCACTTTCGTCGTTTACGCGTGGGCGGAAGGCGTTAACGTATCACTAAGTGTGCTCTACGTATCTATGCCCTATACTGATGGACGGGCCTTTTAGGACATTAAACGTACAATTCCTCTTTTACGTAGCATTGTATTTACTTTATTCATCAAATAGGAATCGTAAAAATACCACTAGTACTGCTATACTGACTATGAACGTATAATGTATTTTACTAATTGATATTATTACTCACTCCAACATCTATTCCAAGGGTTTCCATTTCATTCTAAAACAATACAATAAGAAACTAATAATATGTACAATAGTGGACTTTCTAAAGCACGATTTTACACGCACTACTTAAAACAGGAGATAAAGATGAAAATCGTGTGGGTGTTTCTTAATCTATGATTCCATATCATCTTATCATTGTCTCCCGTTGACAATGTGAAGTAGTGAAGCAGTTTTACTAATCAATCAATTAAGAACATTATTGATGGCTTAATTTCCTAGAATGACATATAAGGACCTGTTTGCTCGCTTGGAAATTGATTGTTTGGTAATTTATTTAGATGATTTGATACTTTATTTCTAGTACAGGGCAAGATAATTTCGCTCTAAAATCAGTGAAGTAATGATATATACTAAGCTTGATAGTCAAATCTGTTAATTGTCGGTTTGCTTTTTTAAAACTATTTTAGGAAAGATGTTTGGAATTCCCTTAACAGTGACCACTAAAATTGGTTAAGTGAAATTCTTRACCATGAGACAAGAAAACGCTTGAAAAAATAAAAATAACCGAATAGAAGTAAAGCATCCTTTCGTGTTAAATAATGATTAGTTTATTTAAGGTTTATAATCAAACATTATAAATAAAAAACGGTCAAAGTTAGCAGAGCAAAAAAGAAAATCCGTCCCCCAATCCACCTGTTGATGCGAGMGGAAGTGATGATGACCGGAAGTAAGGTACTTAGGGACCGCGCGCAACCACAAAGCCATCATCAAAAATATTTTAAGGAATTTTTTGGTGGAAATTCGAATATTAGCTTGGTGGAAAGCTTAACTTAGAACATGAGATTTACAAGCAGGAAGCCTCAAACTACTATAAAAATGGTCGTATGCGCAAGAAAAGATATATTTCTTGAACGTTTTCAAACAAGAACAACTATAAGGTACAGGAGTTTAATTGGAAAGACACTAGACAAGAACAATGAATGGTGAGTACCATTTTATGCYTGATAACTACAAATAGCTGCAAGTTTAGCAAACATCTTGCACTTCATACACAATTTCAGTAGAACTCCTTCCAAAACTAAGTTGTTCAATGTCTTCACCCACATTAGTTTAGGCAACAATTCAATGTTCTTTTACTCAAATCAATACACAAGAAGCGGCAACAGTTTTCGAGTAATCATTTAAGAGAATAAGCAAGAGAACTAAAAGAACAGTTTCATTTTATGCCATTTATATTAGGCGGTTGAGACGGCACAAGTTCTTAGTTTAGTTGCCCAAAGTTCTAACCATTACCAATCAATGGCAAAACCTTACCACAGGTTTACGAGCACAATTAATAAACTATAATGAACGATAATGATAATAAAGAGTATCTAAGATGTGATATTTCATTTCAGGTTACAAAATAACTCTTTTTGCCATAATGGCCATCGCCGTGCTTCAYCAAAGTAATGGAGCACCGTGCCAAGCTTCGTCGTTGACAGCTAACTCTCAGCAACAGCTAAAAAATTGCTACAAGAACCTCAAAAATCAGGCAAAAATTCTTAAACACAAAAGCAACACCGCCGCACATAACTTGGTGAGTTTAAGAAGCTAATATTTTAGTTCCTCGTTCAGTGTCAGAAACCTTTTCACTTCCCTTYTTTTCAGTTTACTTCTCAGTTTTTCATTTRATACACTAAAGAGAGGGAAGATTTAATCGAGGTCTTGCTCCATCACACCGTGGTAGCGATGCCTTAATGAGTCTAGCCTTTCTAGCTCTTTATCCATCATGTGTTGTGACTAAGGGGAGCCTCAGCTATCGTCACTTCCCATTACGTTATCCATGTCCAACTTTTTTTCCATCTATTTCAATTTTTTTATACAATTTTTCTTCTTGCAGAAACAAACGTTTAGCGTTAACACCAATACAGCATGTATAAACATTGGTACTATACAGACAATAGTACAGACGGGTATGAACATTACCAATACCAACAAACTGACGGTAAGTAATGCATTCTAGAACAAATAATCAACTCAATGGAGCATCCTACATTCTAGAATAAATGATCAATCAAACATTCGATTGGACATACTTGATTATGCAGTAGTTGTGGGCATTATGGAATTAAGTTTAAACATATAATTGATTGAATAGACTTAGTGAACTGTGCAAACAGAGTAACAGATGAATTTGACAACATATCCATTTTTGGTTTTCTTATCCAATGATTTCAAAAAAAAAATAATAGAATTTGCAGCAAAAAAAATTATCAAATGTCTTCCTATGCGTCGAAGGGTAAACGATAACTACGCGGAAAAAATAGGAACAAGAAATGAAAAGCAATAACAAYGAGAAGTAGAATAAGATTGAGAAAACGAAAAATCGCAAATCTATAATTAGAATAGGAATATACGAAAATCGAGAAAACAAGACAAGAACTATGGAATAATATGYAAATATGATTAAACAAAAACTGATAAAAATAGAAAATGATACTTTTATGAACCRAGCAGCCGAGAAATGCTCTGGAATGCATGTATGGAAAGKTTTGACAAAWKRAWTYYWAAARRRRAAAAAAATCTAAGAATCGTAAAAACTCCATACCTTAATMTAGCGCAATTATCATCGGTGCAGTATTCCSATAGCTGAGATAATGATGCTATTGAGTCCAAAGTCTTATGTAAAGGAACCCCTCGTAAAATCTCTTTCATGTGCAGTTTACAGGGTGTGGCTTCATCTCGGCTAGTCCGTAAAAACATCACGAGGAATCCATAAGATCCTTGTATTCCTAGAAAAACGAAGAATAAACTATATAACTGATTCTYGTCTCGATGTTGAAAGTTGTTTTGACTAAACTTTGTGGTTSATTAGTCTCCTGCGCAGCCGTCACAAAGAAAGAGTCGCCTGGGGAGGAGGCTAGTGTTTTATGTGAAGTYTACGATTCCTCTTTAGTTTCGCCCGGCACGAGACGAGTTTTATACGATTATMTATGATTTATGACAATGCCTTACACACTATATAACTTGTTTTTACAGGATTTAAAGACACTCAAATTCCACAAGGCAGTCCTGTCAAAGTACAACAGTGTTTTGAAGTCGAACGCCCTMAAGGTTCAAAACAGCCCACCTCTTATCAAAGGCGTGTTAAGAGACATTCAAGCAGTCGTTAGAATGATCGATCTGGCTATACTAAACGTAAGTAGACAAAGAACAGAAAAACTTTACTCAGAATTTTAATTCTTAAATTTGTTGTGATTCGGGAGTGAGTGAGTAACAATGTTCTAATAACACAATATTTAGGAGGTTTGACTYCATAAGTATGTAAATGGGTTTGTCCCTATAAYGAAATGCTCTTATTGTTTATTTGCCCTCTTTGCTGTATCGGTTACCTCTTCTGTTTCCTCTTGTCGCAGTCATACTGCGAGAGGTCATGTTGTGTGCTATAGCATCACATGTGGGCGGTTGAGTGGGCGAGTGGGTAATGGACATGTGGGACATCTAATTGTAGTGCTAGAATCAATACTCCAAAGATTAACTCGAATTTTTTTYACTTTTAGATGCAACCAACTGGCGCATGTCAAGTACCTAATGTACCAATCCCAGCAGCCTCCAGTGCTCTACACAGTCTAGTATGTCGCACTATTGACCTTGATGCTTTTGCACGAGTCATCACTATAAAATACGCACAACTTTACAACGCTGCGTGATAATCTTTAACAAATTCTAGGAATATGAAATTAGGATTTTTAGCCTAAAGAAATTATTATAGCCTTTATTTTATCTTATTCGATAGTTAACAAATTCTAGGAATATAAAATTAGGATTTTTAGCCTAAAGAAATTATAGCCTTTACTTTATCTTATTCGATAGTTAACGAATTCTAGGAATATGAAATTGTTATTTTTAGCCGAAAGAAAGTATAGCCTTTATTTTATCTTATTCTACTTCTTTAATTATATAGTTAACTAATTATAGGAATTTGAAATTGTGATTTTTAGACAAAAGAATTAAGTATAACCTTATATGATCTATTATTAGATCTTTATTCTTTGATTATAGTTAACAAATTCTGTGAATTTTAAATTATGATTTTTAAATCAAAGAAAGTATAGCCTTATTTTATCTATGAAAATTGAATTGTATTCAACCTCTATCAGAATAAAACAATTTAACGTTTATACACTGTACATTTGTCATTTCCCTACATTTGTCAGTCCTGTCGCCGCCATTCTAAAAAATACATTCTACATAAATACGTTTATCAAAGAAATTTGTCTTATGAGATTTTAGTTACTAAACAAGATCCAAAGTGTAATCAGATGTAAGTTGTTTCCAGTCGAGTATGGAAGAAAAAGGACTTTTTGTGACGAAAGGCCTTCTAGGGCCTCTCGCCACCATGTCATCGTGTTGAGTGACCAAACCATAACCATCCACTTGAAGCAGGCGTTCCTTGCGTTCCTTGATATGTTTTAAGTTGAAAAGAGAAAATCTATAGAGGAAAAAAAAAACAACAGCAAAGAAAAAAGGAGGAAAGAGAAAGAAAAAAAAAGAAAGAAGAAAAGAAAACAGAGGAAACAAAAGAAAAAGAAACATTCAACACTAAGAAAAAAGAGAAGTTCCAGCATCAGGATTTGAACTCAGGACTTTCACTTCAGTAGAGGATGTACCCCCCCTGGCATACATAAGAAAAAATGAGAATAAAAAGCTAAAAAGTTGGGACGATTCCCCCGAGACATTCTATGAAGCTGAGGCGGCGAATCGGCTTACGTTACGGTTAGAGATTTCGGCCCTTCCACGCTATCCCGAGTGAACATAAAACTTAGTCTTAGCCAAAAGGCCAGGGAGTGAGGGGGTAGCCGCCCACTAGAGCATACCTTTAGCTACCCTCTTAGACCATCGTACTATGAAGACACTTAATGTATTTAATATCTAATTGGGGTAGTCTATTCGGTGAAGTTCTATGCTAATATATGACGTCACCTAAATCCTTTGGGAGCAGAGAGCCAATCAGAGCTCAACTCAGGAATTAGCAAAATATATACATGGTTTGAAATGGATTTATTATTTGTTGGGGGTGGGGTGGGTGCTGAGTGCTTGTTTGCGCTCGAATACGCAAGAATGTGGCGGCTTTTAGCGAGCTGTTCAATTGTCGTTATTGTTTTCCAATTCATCACAGGAAAATTCGAGGAAAATATGTAAAGTTCTCATATGTCAGACAGACATTACTGGTATTCAAGTAAGCAGCACAACAAAAATCTCTTGAAATTCTTAAGTTAGTGGTTTAAAAACCAGACTCGAACCAGGCAGACACTAGCTCAGTGTTGCCAAAGATATTTTCCAGGATTCGCAATACCAATGGCACACAACTGAAGACCTTTAATACTCCAACATTACACTCGAACGTTCAACATTTTCGTTCTTGATGATATGAATGTTAACAAATGGATTAATATTGATCATCAAATAATTATTAAATCTAAACATAGTGAATGTTAACATTGAAGAAGATGAATGACAATCCGTGAAGAATTGATAGAGAAATGAAGAAAAACTTAGCAATCTTTGGGTTTTATTTCAAAACTATAATCAGGCGAATAAGAGTAATTATAACATGGATGTAAAAATACAGTTTTTAAAATAATATAAACATTTTCAGACGGATAATCATCAACCATAACAATAGGTTCCAAGGTTGCTTGGCCCCTGGGAATAGCCGCCTGGTGTGTATTTATAGACAACGGAATGCTTAATCACAACTTCAATGATGCTTTTAATTCTTTGCAGGCTATACAGCTAATTTCTAAGAGCGCAATGCATTGTAGGTCTTTCTACCCCCGTTCACCATTCAAAAGGAACTTTCATATACATGGTTTCAGAGTGCTATGGCAGCTACGTGTTGTGGTCAAGAACTCCCAAGGAAAACAATTAAATTTAGAGTTGCCATTTTGTAACGCAGGAAACTCGAAGTYAACGCATGCGGTCATCGACTGCCTATAGGCCTTGTTCATATGATGAGTTTTCTTCCTTGGTGTTTGTCATTAACTTGTGTAYAAAGAGAATATAAAAAGCGTTAAGAAAGCAAAAACGACTTTATCAGTTTTTCCAAAATAATGTTTTTTTAAAAAGCTATTTATATGCATTAATAATCTTTAAAACCCATCAGCGTGGGCTACGCCCTATAGGATCGGACGTCTGYATGGCTTCTTGATAATAAAAACAGCAAACAATTGATCATGAGTGCACTAAAAACTCTTAGTTTGACATTCAAAGTARAGCCCTACTCAAAAATGACAAAAGATATATTCATTGAAGCATAACGCTTAAGAACAAATATAGCAGCTCCAAGAGCCGTTATCTGTTTCTCTTGTGTACTGATCTCATAATCTCAATACACAATATCGCTTTTTTCAGWAGAGATTACATCAAACCGCTTGATGAAACCCTTTTTTATTATGATTTGGTCATTCATGCTTATTCGCTTCTAAAAGCTTTGTTCCCAAKGGTTTTGCAAATTGCGAATTGACTACAKCGCATACGTAATTGTGCTTGGATTGTTGGAGACTGAGTTGCGTAGATAACGCTTGGCAACAACAAACCATGTAAAGAAAACTTCATCTAAACCTTCCAGAATCTTCGATCATTTGAAAAAACAAATGTTTAAACACTGTTGGCGTGTGRTRGAGGATTAGAACCTATTATAAATGTAAGCAAACAAACAAACAAGACGTCCAATGTGGGTGACAGGTTTGAGAGGCAATCTATTTATTGTCATCATTGTTATTTATTACGAGTTTGTCCGACGAGTGCTTTTGTCTGTTTCTTTCAATAATAC